TGGTTAATACTTTAGTAACACAGTAGTTAATAGTTCAGTAACACAGTAGTTAATACTTCAGTAACACAGTAGTTAATAGTTCAGTAACACAGTGGTTAATAGTTTAGTAACACAGTAGTTAATACTTCAGTAACACAGTAGTTAATAGTTCAGTAACACAGTAGTTAATACTTTAGTAACACAGTGGTTAATACTTCAGTAACACAGTGGTTAATACTTCAGTAACACAGTTTGTTACTGAACTATTAACTACTGTGTTACTGAAGTATTAACTACTGTGTTACTGAACTATTAACTACTGTGTTACTGAAGTATTAACTACTGTGTTACTGAACTATTAACTACTGTGTTACTGAACTATCAACTACTGTGTTACTGAACTATTAACCACTGTGTTACTGAAGTATCAACTACTGTGTTACTGAAGTATTAACCACTGTGTTACTGAACTATTAACCACTGTGTTACTGAAGTATTAACCACTGTGTTACTGAAGTATTAACCACTGTGTTACTGAAGTATTAACCACTGTGTTACTGAACTATTAACTACTGTGTTACTGAAGTATTAACTACTGTGTTACTGAACTATTAACTACTGTGTTACTGAACTATTAACCACTGTGTTACTGAAGTATTAACCACTGTGTTACTGAACTATCAACTACTGTGTTACTGAACTATTAACCACTGTGTTACTAAAGTATTAACCACTGTGTTACTGAACTATTAACCACTGTGTTACTAAAGTATTAACCACTGTGTTACTAAAGTATTAACTACTGTGTTACTAAAGTATTAACTACTGTGTTACTAAAGTATTAACTACTGTGTTACTAAAGTATTAACCACTGTGTTACTGAACTATTAACTACTGTGTTACTGAACTATTAACCACTGTGTTACTAAAGTATTAACTACTGTGTTACTAAAGTATTAACCACTGTGTTACTGAAGTATTAACCACTGTGTTACTGAACCAGTGGTTGATACTTCAGTAACACAGTAGTTGATACTTCAGTAACACAGTGGTTAATAGACTGTGTTACTGAAAGTTAATACTTCAGTAACACAGTGGTTAATAGTTCAGTAACACAGACTGTGTTACTGAAGTATTAACCACTGTGTTACTGAAGTATTAACCACTGTGTTACTAAAGTATTAACTACTGTGTTACTGAACTATTAACTACTGTGTTACTGAAGTATTAACTACTGTGTTACTAAACTATTAACCACTGTGTTACTGAACTATTAACTACTGTGTTACTGAAGTATTAACTACTGTGTTACTGAACTATTAACTACTGTGTTACTAAAGTATTAACCACTTCAGTAACACAGTGGTTAATACTTCAGTAACACAGTGGTTAATAGTTCAGTAACACAGTGGTTAATACTTCAGTAACACAGTGGTTAATAGTTCAGTAACACAGTGGTTAATACTTCAGTAACACAGTAGTTAATACTTTAGTAACACAGTGGTTAATAGTTCAGTAACACAGTGATTAATACTTCAGTAACACAGTGGTTAATAGTTCAGTAACACAGTGGTTAATACTTTAGTAACACAGTGGTTAATACTTCAGTAACACAGTGGTTAATAGTTCAGTAACACAGTAGTTAATAGTTCAGTAACACAGTGGTTAATACTTCAGTAACACAGTGGTTAATACTTTAGTAACACAGTGGTTAATACTTCAGTAACACAGTAGTTAATACTTTAGTAACACAGTGGTTAATAGTTCAGTAACACAGTAGTTGATAGTTCAGTAACACAGTAGTTAATACTTCAGTAACACAGTAGTTAATACTTTAGTAACACAGTGGTTAATAGTTCAGTAACACAGT